CCCACTGCTGGAAACCTTTGCTCTTTGGTTGCAGCTGTCAGGATTAAGTCTCTCCTTTACCCACAGGCAGACCTTGTAAAAAGCCATGGGATGTCCTTGGTTGCCTTCTACCACAGAGTTACCATCTGTTGAAAAAAATGGCACCCACTCCAGTCGTGTCTGTTTTCATGGTTTTTCTCTCCTCAAAAATAATTCCTTAAACTGGGGGCTGCTTGTGACACCTCCCAGCTCCTTTTTAAGGCTGCAAAGGCACAACTTCAATTTAAAACACACTTTAAAGCAGATGAAGAGTTTTTCTTTTGCTGGAACCCCTCTGCCCCTAATGACACACTCCTGTTGAGAGACAGTGGTTGAGGGCAGGGACAGTCCAAATCTCAGCATGCAAAATGCAGCAGGAGACCTAGAGAAGAGAGATGGAGGAATTAAAAGGCTGACAGCTTGTGAAAGACTGACCAGCCAGACTTCTAAAGGGGTTCTGGCCTCTCTTCAATGTGCCTTTCCGACCCCATCTCCAGCAGTATCACCAGCACTCAACAAACAACTTGTTGGACCTGGTTTGGTGACCTAAAATAATTGAGAACTAAATTGTTTTTTCTTTGGCTGCTGCTAAAGGCTGTTTTTTTTTACCAGTTTAACTCCTCGATTTCTCACCCAAACTGCAAGGTGACAGCCAGTGTCAGTTCAAGGGAAGCGAGAGCAGTGTGTAGCCAGGGGAACAGGGACACTATTTTTGACAGCTAACAGCCCAAATTAGCTGCAATGTCAAACCACACCCTCAGGTCTCTGATGGCTACGGAGACTAGAAAGATGGCACAGAGGGCAAAGGAGAGACAGGAAAAGCGCGAAATCAAAACAGGCCAGGGATAAAGAGAATACACACACACTACATGCAAAGCAGGGGCTGGACTGTGAGTGTTGATCGTGGGAACAGATGGAGAGATAGAGAGAGAAATGACACCCATTACACTCAAAATCATATGTATGAGAGAGGGAGAGAGGGGAGGGCAGAGAGAGCACAGTGGGAGAGAGAATTCACAAGGCAGGAAATAAATTTGCAGAAAATAATGGTTTAAGGAAAACTGGAATCGGAACTTAGCGTTCACTGGAAAACCACAGCCTGGTCAGATCAGTGCAGTTAGAAAAGAAGGATCCTTTGAAAACCAGCTCAGTAATTTCTCTTTTCATGTCTGACATTCGCAAAAACCTGCTCTTTGTACACTGCATAGTAACACGAAGAGTTAAAAGGCACAGCCTAAGATCAGCGTTGGCCAGCCCCATAAACATTTATTCTATCAATTAGAGGCAGGACATAGCACAGAATAAACTAAAACCAAATCAAATGAAGCGTTCTTCCAGTTCTGTAGAGGATTGAGATGCAAACAAAAAGATCTTGGTACTTCCATGGCTTTCCACTGGCACAGGAACCAGAAAGAAATATTCATTTAGATCTGGCTATAAACGTTTATCTTGTGTGGGAGGTCTTAGTATTGTAATATGTATTAGAAACTTGGTATTTTTCCAATCAAGTCTTTCTACTTCCATTTACATATATTTAATTGTAAATATTCATTTTCCTACCTGAAGCACTTTAAATAAATATACAATAAACACAGTCTACATGGAAGGGGAGTGAAGAGCTGAGGAGACTCGCAATGAGCCCCAGAATGGCTCCAGCCTCCACGCTGCTGGTGAGGAGCAATGCAGGATGATCCCTCCTGAGAGCTTGTGGGGGGTCTTGTAGATCGAGTTGGTGATCTCACCCTTTTGTCTACCACACTGAGATCCTCCCTGCCAACAAGTAAATCACAGCTGACACAAACTGGCATCTGCACTAGCAGAAATGGTGATGGCTGGCCAAATGATGCCCTCTCACACAGAGAAGTGGATTTCCTCAGAGCCCAACCAACCTCAGTTTGCAGTCTTGTCAACACACACTCCTATTTTGCAAGCACTGAAACACACAGGTAATAGAATGAACAGACACGGTAACCCCAACTTTATTTAAACAGAGTGCACAGAAACTCTCAGGCGAGCTGCTGTCCTCTGACCTCAACAGTGCTGCTCAGCATGGTCAGCAGGGGCAGTGCTGCCTGCAGCGGGACCCTGCTTCGGCCCCGTGCGGCGGTGAGGCATTAGGGAGCCTGGAACTGCTGAAGCTCTCCGCAAACATTCCCCAGGCAGCTTTCAGCAGGCACAAATACACACCTCGAACACACTGGGGCTATGGGGGCACTGGAGGAGTGCTTCTGTCCACTGCTGTCACCTAATGCAGTCCTGATGTAGGGCACAGCACTCCCTGATGCACACAAAAGCCCCAGTCTGTGACAGAAAACTTTTTTTTTTTTTTTTTGATGACAGAAATAACATTTTAGAAGGATAGTTTTCAAGTTGAGATGCATGGAGTGAGGACAACTGGAAGAAGGCTGGAAGCTATTTTTTCAAGATGAAGTTATGAAATCAAATTGATAGAATGGGTAACAGTGTGGATAAGCATGAAAAAAGCAAAGTCTTATCAGCTGTTCTCCCAGGAGATGTAAGTTAGAAAGAAGAGAAAGACTTTTACATACTTGAACCACTCCTCAGGCATGATCAGAGGCAGTAAGTTACAACACAGAGTACAGGTTAAGTATGAGGCTTTGTCCATTAGTCATACTTGAAGATTTCCCACCTCCCCAAGATATCCTGCACCAAATTAACTGAGTATTACTGCAGTCATAGTGACATACTGCTACAGTGTGCATTTATTATTTAATAACACCAAACTGGTGAGCACTCCTTATCTGCTAAGAGACCCCTTGTACCACTTCCCATGAGAAAGTGATACTTCATTGCTACAGTACATTAAGAGCAAAATTAAGATTTATTTTCAAGTAACTGGATCCAAGGCCAAACGAAGAAACTAATGTTACCTGTTGACATATGGGGCAATGTGGGAAGGATGCAAAAGACAACACCTTATGTTTCATGCTTACACTAATGAACCATGGTTTGTTGTGGGGTGTATCTATAAAGTGAAAATAAGGTAAATGGTATCATAACACTGACCAAGTCAAGTCAGAAGAACTACAGGAAGTAAGACAGCACTGTTGGAGAACAAAACAAATGGAGTGCCTCTTCTGAAAGTCACATAGAGGTTTTTTTGCATAGATTAAAACTTTTATCATGATGGATCATGAAGTGTAAAGCAGTACTTGTGTCTATCAGAAAATTCTATTTTATGTGCGAATTTGAAGCCTTATACATGAGGACAGATAGAACCCTTTTACTACATTATTGGAGACTTATCAAAACCAGGATGCTTTTTTCTTGAGAAGATGAAAAGTACAGAGATAAGCAAGGAAATAAAGACTGAAATTTTAACCAATAATATTTTTGTGTGGTTATCAGAGGAATGTAATAATTAATCTTTTAATCATTCTAAAGATGGTGTGAAATCATAATATCTCATCTTTTCCAGCCTCAACCTGCCATTCTTGATCTGAATTACAAACAATAAGAAAGGAGATGATTTAATGAGCAACTTTGTCATGTTGCCATTTTGCCTTAGTCAAAGGCAAATATCTAGTTTTGCCTCTAAACTAAAATGGAACAGACTTCTGTTTCAACTATGCTCACAAATGAGGCAAAGATAAATGGAAAACTTATGGCTATTTTAAAGCTAGAACCAATGTCTTCACATTTTCACAGACACATAATCAAATACACACTGTTAAGAAGAAGCAAACACTGATTTACTAGAAAATAAAATTCATTTTGTGAAGAAACACACATGTATGAAATTTAAACTAAGCTAAATCCAAAATGAAAAATTTCACTCACAATGGCAATAGGTATGTTCTTATTATGAAAGAAAAAAAAGTGTCAGCATGATTTAATCATACTCTATAAATAGGCACTTCAATAAAGTATATATTTACACTGGCTTTCTGGATGCTAGGGCATCACAAAGTAGAATGGCTTTATTACAATGGATGGAAGATGGCAACTACTTAGAACCCAGTGCCAACATGGATTATAACAAATCCAGTGAGTATTTTGTTTTTCAATTATTCATAGAAAATTTAATCCTGATTAAGTATCCTTGGGCAGGAATTCATGGGTAGTTGATGACTGAAACCAACATTTATTTGAAATGCTTCTGTTAATTTAATCTGTGTATATGGCTTAATTATGATTGAATCCTCAATGTAACAGAAATGAATTATATCAGGATTAAAATTCTAGTACCACATCACCCATTCCATTTTCTTTGCCTTTTTTTTCCTCCTTTAAAAGATGCAAGGCTGCTGTTTTAATTACCTTTATGTTGCTATGTATTCCAAGCCTGAAAAACTGTTCAGACCTTGATTATTGGATGAAATATTTAGTTACGTTTACTTTTTTTTCTTTTAAAAAGGAAGATATAAACCCTATTTACATTCCCATTAGGATTTTAACCAGTATGAACATTAGATGCAAAAAAAGGCATTTCTTTTACACCCATGATAAAGGAAAGTTTCTTGCAGTCAGTTGTGAACATTTTACATATGTTTTCTAGATCATTCTCCCTCCTTTCTTTCCCCATCTTTTACACTGATACATAAAATGCATTTTCTCTAAAGCATGAAAATAAAAAAAAACCTTTTACTCATCGTTATGCATCACACCAATTTCACAACTGGCCTATTTTAAACTTGTTTGAGCATGTAGATGTTTTAAGAACTCCATTTTACAAGACCTTCAAACTTAGTACTGACACAAAGTAATGGCATTTTTGGTGTCTGTGAATGGGAGAGAAAAGATTCATTGTACTCTTCTGTGATACAATTCAGCAACACTTGTTAAATAGTATCTATAAAACTCTTCAAATTATGGATTTTTACACTCCACAGTATTTTTAACACATTAATCTAGGAATCTTGTCAGACCAAAGGTCTGTGAAGTGCTTTGATATTATCACTCAGTTTTCCAGTGAAACCGATGTATCATACACTTGTGACAAAAATACCTGTATATTCAAGTCATTATTGCACATTTATTACATAATGTATTCTTCCTAAACATCTCAGAAGTGATGTCGATTTTTATGTCCAGAGGATATTGTTAGTGGCAATGTCACTGATGACAATGAAGATACTTCCCAATATAGACTATGAGACAGAAAAAGTCTGTAGAGGATAACCATGGAGATGCACTGACAGAGGATAACACCTATGGTAATAATCTAGAGACAAAAAAAAAGAGAGAGAGAAAGAAATAGTAAGTAAAAACGACTCTCTCACTAAACAAGCCACAATAAATTTCTATCAGCATGAGTGCTCGAGGTTTAACTTTAAACCGTTTAACAGTGCTGCAGTTACAAAAGATTTGAACATGCATTTTAAGTCCAGGAATCAGACTCTCACACCTGGGTGTTTTTAAATCAGTAGATAGCCCTGGGCAAGTCACATAACCCTTCTGGCAGTCTCTGTTCTGGGGAATTTCAGACTTGCAATTCACCACCCATGCAGTTTCACAAGCAGAGGTGATGTTTAGATATTCTATTCTTACAACAAACAGAGTGGGGGGGGGAGGAAAAAAAGAAAGCTTGGAAACACTTTGCACTAGCACAATCAGGAGCTGAGGATAGTGATTTATCAATCTCACTTAGCCAGATCTCTTTCAGTTCAAGTCTCTTCATCTGCAAAAGCTATGTAAGGCTGTATTTATCAAATGCCTAAAGGTGTAACTTGTTTCTGAGAAAGCACAAGTCTTCAGTTTATGTACAGGCAATCCTTTAAAATGCATGTTTTTCTTAAATAAGTATGGTATTTATTGATTGTGCGTTTTATTGTATTGAGGTGCATTTGAAGAAGCAAACATAGCTGAATTATCATAGTGTAGGAACTGCAGCTGCATATAATGGTTAAAGTTGCTCAAATGCAAGAGCAGAGCAATTGTAGTCTTCCTTTAGTAAGCTCAAAATGCTGCAAAAATACTACTTTACTGATCCTACCTCTAGAGACTGTCCTCCTGCTCTGAGGATGTTTTCATCAAGCAAAACAAAAAGTCTCTTCATTAGTAACTCTAGAGGAATCAATTTTTTTTCTGCCCAGATTTCCTTTTTTTTTTTTTTTTGGTAAATCAAACACAGAATTTAATTTATTATTTATATTTAATAAGACCTTTTTCTTTCCCTTACATATCCTCTACACAAATAAAAGCTCATTTTCTGAATATATTTGCATACAAATGCACAGATGGTTATAAGCATAAAGAAAAGAAGCAAACCCTATGCTGGAATGAGGTACTCAATCACCTGAGAATAGTGGTGTACTTCATCTGAACATGGCAGGCTGCACACAGAGAGTTCTATACTTCCCAATACGTTTAAGCAACCGAGAAACTCAGCGAATCCACCTTTGTTTTTAACTGTTTAGAGCTTACAAACTAAACAACATATTTGGACAGACTTCTTGATCTAAAGAATACAGTTCAGCTACAGGTTCCCTGACCTATTTAGCCACATAAAGCTTTTAAAGGATGAAGACTAAAAAGCAAACAACAAAAAAAATCCACTGATTTATCTTTCTACTCCCTTTGTTAAAAGAATCTCCAAGGTGTTTTTAATTAAAAGCAAACAAGCAAACAATAAAACAAAACACCCCCTCCACATTTTCCTTTGACTTAACAATCTCCCCCTCTCCCTCCCTTAACCTAGAAATGATTACCCTTAGATGATTCGAGCCCTGTATGCCTTTGTAAAATATGACTCACGTTAGCATCAATGAGAGCTGTGTGACTAAGACTTTTCAAGTTGCTTTGGGGTCACAGGATTAACAGCCTAAGAGCATGAGTTTGCTAACAAACATTAAACATGAAGAACAACTACTATTCAAATTTCATCTCTTTTATCTTCCCTGTACATACCTTTTCTCTTTGATATTCTCTGAATATTACAGCAATGGTTGCAAGACATGGGTGGCACAGAAACCAGAGAATGCAGGCCTAAAAAAGAAGATGAGTGTAAGTTGTAAAATGACTACATGCCAGCTTAGAAGAAAGAGATGACAGTTACAGGAACTACATTTACATTTCTGTCTGTTTTATGAAACCATTGTTTAATTTTCAATCAACATAACGAAAACCACACAATGAAAGGTGGGATTTCTGTTTTAAAAAGCTCTATACTCCTTGTCAAATTAAAATGCCTACTTTAGAGTATGATGACAGGGTGCAATGTAATCAAATCAGACACTTTAACTTTCTTATGGAGGGAAAGAGTTTAGTGTTTCAGTCAACTGCATGCCACAATTACATTTACAGACGAAGGGATCAGTTTGTTTGATGTAACCCCTACTTTGGCAAAGGTGATGTAGAACTCCCTTTTCAGTGTGCTTCTCTCCACTGTGATAATCTGGTACAGCCCAGCAGCCAGGGACAGAGCTAGGCAGACTCTGAGGCCAATGAGCAGCCCGCTCGCCAAGCCATGGTGCGAATGGTAGCTGTGGTGATCTGTATCTTCAAGCTGCTCCCAAATTAACAAAAAGCTCTGAAAAAGAACAACAGCAAAGTGCACTTAGAGTAAACCAGGTTACATTAACTCTCAATTAACCTTTCCACCACAGATTAAGTTACCTGGTAATGCTCTACTCTACTTGTTAGGGACTGCCATGCTAAGCAAAAAAACCCAACAAACCCAAGTCTGAAACGCTTTTTGCTGTGACCTATTACTCCAACTGCAACTGTCAGGAACAGTCTCACTTCTTGGATTCTGTAACTTTTAGAAAGCTTGACAAGTCAAAGTTTCCTCTAATTTGGATAGAGGGAATGCAGCACCTTAGAAAAAAATGTGAGATGATCACCTGCACACTCGTCCTACTCTGCAGGAAGACCACTGAAATGATTTCACAGAGCTACAGGGAGGTGTCTCCTTTCACTTGTGATCCACAACCTGTAAAGCTTGTTTCAAAAGCAGGCGACTACGCCTTTTCTTTCAAAATCCTAACAGGATTCACTTTTCTTTTCAAAGATGGGGAAGTAAGAGGGTGGTGCTGCTGCCCCTTTTATACAATAGCCTTAAGGCTCAAGCATTCACCCAGGTTGAACTTGGATCTCCCACAATTCCCTTCTTTGCCTAAAGGATATCCAATTCACATCTCCCACCTCCTTGGAGAGTGCTGCAACTGCCAGGCTATAGGGTGTTCTTGGGTGGGCCACTCTCCACCCCTTCTATTGAAGCTGTGCCATTGTGGAGAAAAGAATTCAGCATTAGCTAGGTCAGAAACTGTGAGCGAGCCTGACTCTGCAAACACCTGGCTCAGAAACCTCCTAGGGTCTAGGAAAGGGAGTGTCACAGGCTCCAAATGCCATTCCAACATCTGGCCGAGCACTCTAGCCAACAGATAACTACATAAAAGATAGTAACCCCCTCCTTAACTCCCAGCATTGTATCCATCTGCTGTGGAATCCAATTTTCTGGGAGCACTGTGAGAAATAATATTGATATCCTCCAAGGAAAAACAGACTAACAAGCACCTAGTTTCTGAATATTAGTTGTGAAGAAGGCGCCAACCAGTTGCATAAAAAAATGTGTCTTGCTGAAGAACACCTTTTCAGGACTTTGGGAATGCTAACATTATAAATTAGAATACATAAAGTTTAGAATCTCAGAGCATCATGTAGCAGATGAATGGCATTTTAGAACTTGAATATACACTGGAATCCACTCCACCTACTGCACATATCTAACTTGCACTGAGGCTTCAGGTGCCTAATAAAGCAGGTTTTTTTAAGAAAGGTAGGCAAATTTGATGAGTGAAGTAGCTCTGAAAGTCTCAGAAGCAGACATTGTATGGCTCAATTTAGAAATATAAATTAGTCAAATTCCTTTCTGAACACATTCAAAGGCTTTCTCACTACATAAAGACAAAAAGGTTCCTAATATTAACTTTTTAAAAAATGTGTAATCCACTTGTGCCTTCCAAAGGTGGGTGGCCTTGAGTCTCATCAGTTGAGTATTAGAATAATTTGTGCTTAGAATATCCACAGAGTAGTCTCCTGCTTTCCCCCTCCCTTACCTAAGGGGGACACAGCCCTGTCATTTCACAGCTGCTCTCACTTCAGTCACTCCTCAACCACCTGGATGGAAAATGGAAGGATGGGAGAGGGACAGACGTAAAGCATGCATGTTTTCAACATCACTGACTACTAGCAAACAATCTGACCAACAGGCTTTGAATGTTCTCACCCTAATGCTCAGAAAAAGAGTGATTTCAAGCAAACATCTTCAAATGATTAAGTTACTTGACTGAGAATTCTGTCAAAGAGTAAGACTGAATTAAGACTAAACTGCTCCCAAATCAGTGAGATACAACGTTACCAAACATTGTGCTGTGTCTACAGCACTAGTTTTGGCAAGAAATTGATGAATTCCTATCACAGAAGTTATTTCAGTCCAGTCAGAACATGCTCAGACAATGAACAACAGTTCTACCAGTTACAGAACCACTGCAGTTTTGTGAGCATTTTCCCTTTTCATATTTACATTTGGGAACAGCCAAAATATTTAACTTCCCTGGACTGTACATAATCTGCTTGAGAAAATAAAAGACTCCCTGAACTTATGTATAGAATCTTCCTGACTCGAGCATCTGGGGGGAAGCATATAGGCTGATGGAGACAAAACTGTGACACTGCTCTAAGAAGAAAATATCACTGGAACCTACCTTACCTTAAAAAACAGAGCTCATGAAGGCCTGAATTTTCCTTAGTCTACACCAAGAGTAACAGCAAAGAAAAAAGCCACTTTCATGGGAAGATGACAAAGAGCTGGAGTAAAGGGATCATGAGAACAAAGCCCAAATTCTCATAGGATAATAGTGTCTGACAGCAGAGTATGTTCTGGACCAGCCCTTTAAAGAGTGTAAACAACACAACACCAGTTGATCAAAGGCTGTGTATGGTGACAGGAATGGGAGATCACAGAAGTCCAGTTTCCTTCAGCTTCATTAGATTATTCCAAAATAAGCAGAAGGCAGAGGTGTTAGTGGCAGAGATGGAACTGTCAGTGCAACAGTGTAAACTTGGACAAAGTAAATGTATCATTGCCCTTTTTATGAGCTGGGGCTGTTCTCAATCACCTGGGAAAAGCAGGATCCTATAGAAAACTCTGCTATCAAGTGTTTCTAGGCAAAAATGGATTAGACAATCTGTTTTCGAATAAGAAAAACCTTCACAGACAAGCATGATGTTGAAGTTAAAATCCTATCTTTAGCTGTGAAATATAAAAAAAATAATTAAAATTTGAGAAATCAAGGCCAAGGAACCCTAAGGTCCCTTACCTTGACCACAGAAAGGCAAGTATCAGCTCACTTAGCTGCAATATCAGGAACAAACTTAAAAACACCAGACATCAGCCTGCTGAAGTAGATATCCAAGACATCTTTTGTTGGCAGTCAGCAAAATTATGTTTGAGCTCTGAGAAGAAATCAGGGGAGGACAATTTTGATTGTTATTCAGAAGAACAACTGTGCTTAGGCTGTAGACAAAAGAACTGGATGAGAGAGGAAGCTAAAGAGCTGACTCACACTATACATGTCCAACATTATGTCCAACTATATGTCCAACATTAAAGTCACTTCTTCATAAGATGAAACAGAATGACCATCTCCTTGTTTACATAATACACTGTTCAAAATGCCTGACTTTACCTGTATATAATCCTGACCTATCCTGGCTCACTGGACCAACCACTGTCCAGTACTGACCTTCCTCTTCAAATACTAGAGGAATGGTGGCCACAGATATTTTCCTGATGTTCCAGATATACAAGCAGAACCTCCACATCCATATGAAGAACCAGACACTCTTCCTTTATGTCATGAGAAAACAATTATGGTAGAACTCCTCCTTCCCTTCACGATGCCAACACTGACTTTATGACAAGCCAAGATAAGGTACCAATCTCCAGCAAAGACAGGTTCTCATGGGACAGATCACCCCTGAGAGGCAAGGGGAAGGGGGAAGCAAAAGGGAAATTAGAAGGAACAGCAAGGCAAACTAGCTGTTCCCAACCATATCTAGTACTGAGTTATCTGATGTCATGCAATGCAATACAGCAAAAAATGGTTTAGATCTAAGGTCAGAGGCAGAGCTGATTCTGAGCACACCTAAGAACCCCTGTGCAGGGTGATGTCTAATGCAGTAAGATTCTATGCCATTTTGATCAGAGCAATCAGCTATCTTTCCAGAATCATTGCCTACAGTCTGGTCAGCCTTGAAAGTTGAAACTTCTTAGGTCTATGTGATGGGAAGGGCCTGCCATCAATAAAGTTCTGTACAAGGTTTGTGCCTCAGCAGCAAAAAGTGGGATTTTTAATGAATGCACAGCAGCCTGGGAATCTTTTATTCTGTGGCTGAAATAAAGAACAAGTTAAGGCAAAAGGAGATGCTAAATGGCAGACTTGTCCCTCCTTTGAGATGTTACCTCTTTGCAGCTGCAAAGACCACAAGACATTTGCTGACTAGGAGGCTGTGTCCACCCAACACTGAAGGCAACTCATAAACACAGCCCAGGAAATTGCTAGTGCTTCTGAAAGAACAATAAGAAAAAATCCATAGCATCAGTTCCAAGAGGAGAAAAACCCCTGAAAATCTGCTGAGCAATTTGAACTAGCAAACAGGCTCAGATAAATGCAGTTTTGACTAGCAAGCTAAGTTGAAGAATAACATGTTTTCTCAGGCTGTCCACTTTCTTGACATCTCTGAAGATGAGGACAGGTATGTGAGAATGTCAGTAAAACTAACATGGTGCAATCTCTATCTGCTGCATTAGGTTAATGCACACAGTTTCCAGCAGCCTCCACAGCAAGTCCTCAGAACATCTCTGATTATTCACATGAAGTTTGTCCAATCTCTGGCATAAGAGGAAGCTGGTTCTCCCATAAGAATCTCTGGGAAAGATCAGAACAGGAAGAAGGTTATTCTACATTTTTAGCCATTGAAAGGGCCCATTGAGTGTTTATAGCAGGTCAAACATCCATGTCAATCTAGACTGACCAGTGAAAAACTGTCTAAATCCTGTTTTCCTGAGCCCAACAGCTGCACTCTGTAATTAGGAGAACAAATCTGACAGAAGGTGTATTTTGTATGTACTGAACCACAAGATGGAAAATATCCTCTCCAGAAGGCATACTCTTAGTGTGAGGCAAATTCTGCTGGAGACAGTCGACACTGATATGGAGGTGCAAAACCACTTAGGCAATGACATAATCCAACACCCATATTGTGTTCCTACAAGACTCCTGCTGAACCTGATGCTCCCAATGGTACCAGGAGATGTGGTAGAGTTATGCCTTACTGGTGAAAAGTAAGATAGACAACTGTGTGCTAATGCAGCTCCAGTGCTGCTCCAAGAGCCAAAAAGTCTTGGGGGAAGCAGCCCACATGTATGATGCCTGCTCCACTTTTACCATAAGTAACAACCAAAACAAGATCAAGCTGATTATACTGGGTGTCTTTTCTATGTATAGTAAAAGGAAACAACAATGAAAAAGTTTCCAGTCTCAAGCGGCAGAGTACTAACATACCCATACATATGCACAAGTGCAGGGGCATGAATGAAATTAAATACTTTAGAAGTCTTCTTTACTACCACCATTTCTGGTGCTGGATAGGTTCATTCCACCTTACTTTGACACCCATCTCTAAACTTCAACAGTCCCATTGACCTTAATAGCCTTTGTTTTATATTCTTAATTAGCAAGAAATGCCAGCTCCCAGCTATTCTTAATGTTCTAGAAGTCCACTTATTTAGTTTAGAAGCAGCACTAATTACAGATACTACCCAAATGGCACAAAAATCTTCAGTATAATCTCTTCCTCATTACTGTCTCCAATTTTTCCCTGATCTTCTCTTTCTCAATGGTTTTCAGATTCTCGTCTTTATGATGTGATTTAAAAAAATTTGTTTACAAAAGGCACCACCAGGGTTGAATGATTTCCATTACAATTTACTTTTAAGTTACTGGTTTACTTAACTTTCTAATTTATACTAATGGAAAATATTTGAATGAAATTATGTGTCAGACCATTTGTATATTTGCAAGACCAATCCTGCACATGAACCTTTCAAGAATTCCTTTCCTTATATTGATTGAAAGGACCATTAGACATTCTATTTTAGTGCTTCCAAAAGGAGGGCACTGATGATTTCCGTGTTTTCATGACAAAGACTTTGTCACAATAGCTGTTCTTGTCTTTCCTCCTATGCTGCTGGTTGTCAGCCTGCATAATGTAGTTCACAATGCCTCAGATGCACTGATTACAATTATTTACAGGACCACATTACAAATCAGATCAATAAAATGACTGTGCAAAAAAATATTTTTTTTACTTTTTCTTTTCAGTCTAGGTTGTTCCACTAATCTGTTTCACTCTATAATGCTACAAACAATTGGCACAATCAGGAGTTTGGGAAACTGTGGGAACTTCTTAAGTGGTTTTACTGCTAGACAAAAACATACTGTGGAGCTACATCTTAAATTGTTAAAGTAAAGAGAAGGTGGTGTTACCTATTAGACATACTGGGTGCACATTATGCTGTGGGCTTTTTTCCAGTCTTAATACTCCCTCCCTCATAAGATTAAAATATTGAAATTATTTGGTTCACAGTTCTGTCATACTTAATAGCAGCTGTATACTTCAGTGTAAGAATGAATATGAAATACAAACCTGTGTAACAACAACTACTACAGCAATGCCAGTAGACGCTGGACTGGAATCCCACTGAAGAGGTCTGCCATGAGATTTCTTCATTCTGCCTATTGTCCAACCCATACACAGACTCAACAACAAGTACAGCATTTGTATCTGTGAGACTATGTCACACACTATTCAAAACAAAAGAAAAATGAATAAAATTACAATAAAGTTTTGGGTTTTTTCCTATATCAAAGAGAAATGTTCTATATACCCACAAACGAACGATGGATGCTTATGCCTCTGTATCAGCTCTTAATTTTGATGAGTTAGATTAGATGAGGTTGCTTTGGCACAAAATGTGGCTATTTTGTGGAGTTTCCAGTGACCAAACAGATCACTATCAGTTTTCCTGCAGTTATGCTGCAGATCTGCAAGAACATGGGCACAGTGCCATGTCTTTCCAAATTCCACTCTTGTGTCAGAATAGTCTGGGCTCAGCAGTCCATCTGCATAAATAGACTTATAAATGCTAAAGAACTAAAATCATATGTATGTTAATCATAGTGCAAATATGCAACACGATGAAATGAACTCCTTTCTTCACTCTGAAGAACTTTTGTTCAAAAATCAGATAGTTACATTGTACTTTGAATTAATTGCACTTTGTCTTGAGGATGTAGTAGCTTCCAGAAGAAAGCACAAATATTTAGGACAAATTCCACTCTGAGATACTTAAAGGGGAAAATATAATGAATAACCCTAACACAAACTTCATTTAGATCAACAACTTGTCTGTATTTTATTTTATTAAATGCAAAGTACCTTTGCCTCATTTTGCTATGTCCATTTTTACAACTGTTTGGGAACAATTAACACATACTCCATAAAGTTACATTCTTAATCAGTGTCTCAAACTTGTGTTTGAAGCTGCATCAGAATAAAGAAAACTTTAAGCTAGGATACATTAAAGTCTTTATTTGTAGGCTTGTTGCAGTGCTACTGACAGTAGAAAAACCTGAAGGTTTCTTTCTGGGTGATTGTTAGCTTTAGACCTGGTAAGTTTTAGACTTAATGAACAATTTTAAAGTTGGTGTTGGGATCTGACTCATTGTACTGGCATAGCAGAGATGTAAAAGAAAAATATACCCTTACACTATGTATATTGTAAATTTGGCTCAGAAACTAGAGATTGGGCACTACACACAGCAATGCTTTCTTTTTTGCTTCATTACTATTTTAGTTCAATTAAATTTTTTCCTTATTTGTAATTTTCACTTACACTATCAGGTACAGAATAATATTTCTGTCACAGAAAAAGCAAAGCTGTATTTTTGTACAACTGGACGGTATTAAAAAAGATAAATATCACATTTACTAAAAATATTCACACAGGAAATGTTGCCACTATACAGAAATGAATATGGATACATGGGAAGTGTGTCGAAAGAAGATCATCTACAATATTTCCCTGACATCTAGCAATACTAGCAAAATAAAGAGTATAAATCAGACTTCAGAATGTAATTCCTGGGATATGCTCAGGGTTTACATGCTTAAATGCTTCTTAATGTATTAAGACACCTTTGCTGTTTAAGATCTGTCAAGAGCTTTTAGTAAATACAAAATTGGTAATTCTTTAATAAAATCAACCAGCACTGATTTTGGGCAAAAAAATGATAATGGAATTATTTTCCAATGCTATCTTATTGAGAGACAATACTCACTAGAAAAAGAATTGTTACATGAACGAAAGGCATGCCAAACCAGCGTCACAAATCCAAACTAGAAAAATGACTGAATAATTCTGTGTGTTATAGGGAGCATTTTCTTTTCTGTCCTTCCTTAAGATAAGCTGCCCTACAAGGTACAGCCAGACATCATCTCTCCATCATATCATGGATATAGCTACTGCTCTGCTTCAGTGTGCTAACAATTCAAGTGGATTCCCACACAAATTCATGTAAGACAAAAATCCTCAACCAGCTTTAATCTTTGACATCCCATATACTTTGCTGGAAAGAAAAAGGGTGAGAAAAATTTTCAAGGTTACAATAATCCCACAATATTCAAGGTCAGGGTAAAATCATGTTACTGAGATGATACCAATTGTCTGATTTCATCACAATTAATCTTTTTTGACTATTCAACAGACACAATAATGGTCTTGGACTTTTCACATTTTATTCTTACCAAAAGTTAAAAGGACAGCATTTGCAATGCTTCTGAGCACCAGCATTATTTGTGTGATTTATGCGATTGGGTTAGGTGGTTAATTAGACTGAGGATCAGCTCTTTATACATGGTCAAGACTACCTCATACTAGGAAAAGAATAATTGCTTGAGATGGTATCTGAACAGGTTTTTAGAAAGATATTCTGGCCACACTGCAATTAATAGAAATTTTAACATTTATTTCTAACTCAGATTTCTGCTGCCATGTAGAAAAAATGGTATCATCTTTCCCCTTCAAACTATACTATTCCCCTTCAAACTACTACTTGCCATCAGCCATTCTTCAGAACTGTAATTGCCACAGAAGCTTTTCACATTTCTATTACTTCTGCTCTCTTACTGTTTTGGAAACCACCAAATTCAGAGATAGTAAGAAAGTAAAAACTTTCCAGCTGAATTTAAGAAATTCAGCTACTGATTCAAAAATAATATTCATTATAAGCTTATATAAATAAAAGTGGGCTTTTTGACTACTACACATAAACAAAAAAAAAATCTAACATGAAGCTATTCTCTCTGAAGTTCTGGCTGGATAGTTAACACTAGGGTGGAGTTTTGACTACCTCCATATTCTCCATTTTATTTCATTTCATGAGATGAGAAGGAATGTTTTATTACACAGTTGCTGGAGTGGCTGCAAGGAGCTGCCAGCTCAAATGGTTAAAACAAGAAAGAGGCAATTATTGTGGTGCCAGGTGCCATCAAGAGGCTGGTAATTCCAACTGCAGCCTTCTAAATGAACTCTACAAAGGGAAATGTTTCTCTGTACAGGCTGTTACTCCCCAACACTATCACACCACTGCAATAGTACTTTCTTGGGGCGCTTCAAGCCAGCCAAAAGGAAATGTATTTGGCTGGAATGAACCCCCAATACTTCCAAGGTGAACTGCAGGAAAAAAACCCAAAATACCCAACAACAACGGAGAATGAAGAATGGAACAAGATTAAGTTAATGCATTTTGGAAAGGTATGCTACAGGAACTTGGAATATCTATACAGAGTGGAGAAAAATGCTTTGTTAGCATGAAACCTCCGCATAAGCATTTTTTGCATCATGCTAATCATAAAATTTGCGCTGTAAAATACTTGTCCATTTAATAATTGTTAAATTTGTCAGTGAAATGACAAATTATATAACATATTATGAAGTTTCCTAAAAAGCTTGGCTTTCTAGATCTAACTCCACAAAACTCTTCAATGTACTGTAAAACCTGTTCAGGTGATATTCATGCCTAAGTGTTCGTAGCAAGGAATCTAGAGACAAAAAAATCCTTTGAAAAATCCTAAACAATATCACAGATGTGTAACTTCAAATACAGTTATTGTAAACACATAAAACATTTTTTTTTCTCAAACCTCCGCGCAAGCATTTTTTGCATCATGATAATCATAAAATTTGCGCTGTAAAATACTTGTCCATTTAATAATTGTTAAATTTGTCAGTGAAATGACAAATTATATAACATATTATGAAGTTTCCTAAAAAGCTTGGCTTTCTAGATCTAACTCCACAAAACTCTTCAATGTACTGTAAAACCTGTTCAGGTGATATTCATGCCTAAGTGTTCGTAGTTGTAAACACATAAAACATTTTTTTTTCTGGAGAAGCAATTTTCAGTATTTTATGTTAAAAATCAAATTACGTGATCCAATGTAAGTATAGTCCAGCGACAGCATTTGCTAAAGTATTATACAGATTCATGGGTAGGAATATGTAAGAAACAAGGGACAGACTCACATTCTGCCAGACTTCCCATAAAAGGAGCTCCTATCCCATCTCTAGAATAACTGAAAAAAGAACAAAAAAGATTGTATTTTTAAGTGGGTGTGTCTTAAATGGGTGTTCTCTCTCACAAGTACATGCTGTTCAAAACTCAGTCCTATGTTTTGCCACAATCCCTCCCAGGCAAATCATGTACTGATCTTTACAACACATTGTTCTTCAAGTTTAAAGACTGAAAGCAGAAAAGGAGCAAAGGTACCTTGAGAAATGCAGGTAGTTGGCAAATGCTGAACCAGCCTGCAACAGTAATGCAATTGTCAACACCTTTAATACACCATGCATAGGTCCACGCTTCCTAATTGTTTGCCACAGGGACTGTGCATATATGCATGCAGTTATGAAGTATGCTAGGACAAGCAGGAAAAAGAATTCATGTAATCCTGTGGGGAAAAAAAATACGGCTTAATTTTACAAAGAAACGTTGCTACGAGGAGCAAATAACCAAACAAACAGTGCAATCATTACTATCTTCGGGATTAATACAATCAATGGGAAATACTTAGCAAGTGTTACCCAAAAGTGGTAGTACACGTAAAAGGTCTAAATCCTAGTCAATTTTATCCAATAAAATCAGTGAATTTTATGAAAGAACTGATTACTATTTGATCTGACAAACTGTTTTTAATCAACAATACCTTTTCTGAGCAGAGAGGTTTGCAGCAATTACCAGACCAGTATAAAGTGACACTGTTTCTTGATACACACAAAAGAATTGTAGTTCATTTGATCAGTAAGAAATATATTTATTAAAGGATTCATTTTTAGCTCTTTTTGCTTGTTTGTTTGAATCTGTAAAGGCACAATCTGAGGTGAGACAAACACCAAACAGACTTCTATTTAATCTTTTTAACCACTGGGTGTCACCCTTCCTCCACATAAAGCAGCTTAAGAAGCACAACTGATCAAGTCCGAAAACTTACAGATAAAAAGTAGCACAGAAAACAGTAATTAGTTTTTATCATTATATATATATATATATATATATATATATATATATACACACATATATATATATATACATATATATATTTCAGTTTGGCTTCCCTTAAGACCTGGATCCTGGAAATCTTTTCTATTGTCAGTAAGCTTTGCAACCCATCAGGAGCTCCCAAAGGGTGAAAGCCAGTGAGAAATAGGCAAAAACGGGTAAACAAATACTTCTCATAGAAAACTTGTTTTCATTGTCCAACCTTCCTTGAAATTTAATGCTGCCCATAGAATCAGATTCTAAAAAAAGCTTTTTCTCCAGCAGCAAAATAGCTCTGGTAAAAGCTCCCAGCCAGCTCCCCCCAGAGATTGGGAAGAGCAAGTAGAGACATTTCAATATCTGAGCTGAAAAACATTAGAAATGGATGAGTTCTGAATAGTAGCTAATATTATAGCTTCTTGGACTGAAATTAAGCATTTTAGACACACATGCAGGAAAATGGGAGAAAAAGAGCATAAGGTAATTAAGAGGATTAAAAATTCCAGGCCACTCTGCTTCTCTTCTACACCAATACATATGCATGATTTATCAATGAAAAAAGTATGTGGTATAGATAAAATCTTTCTTTCTGCTTCAAAAGATACCCACTGAAGCTGGCAAGGACTTTGCAGATAAAAGTTATTTCTCACCATGATGAGTGAGAACCCTTGGAAAACTGTTTAGGAAAATCAACTAGCTTTTAACAAACACTAAGCATTCCGACCATAGACAGAGTGTAGATTATTGGTTTGAGACCAAAAGGGGTTAGGAGAAAGCTGCACTGAAAACCAACTATAATAAATAAATAAATTTTCAACCTGTCCCCTATAAGTTTCCTGACTTCCAAGGAACCTAGCTGACAGACAAAGTAAAATATAATTTGAAATATCTTATTTCAAAAATAAGAAATGCTCTTCAAAATGCTACCTGTTCAGCTGCCTTTAGAAATCCTAGATTCCACTGACAGCATGTCTTATATAGAAGAGCCCTACTATATAAAATAAGATTACTTGCCAGGGATCAGAAGTCAGGCCCCCTCATCTCTGAAGGAAAACAATCACAAGGTGACAGCCTCAAGTTCCTTCCCATGCTTTCCTTATTATGCATTTAATTTTTGAGATGTCCTGTATCAGGCCTAAAGTAACTCCAGTGAAGGAAGACCTAACTAAAACCTTCTGCAACTATATAATTTTTAGTTGCTTGCATGAAATAAGCAAGAAATGAAGCTGGATCTTCTCTCTGATACCCTCTCATTCTAAGTTCCTATGAAAAAATGGCAAAGATTATTTCCCAGAGATGCATTAAAAATTAAACTAAAAAAGAGAGAGAATGACAGAGATTAAATGCTCCTCAGCTGTTTGAAAGCAGACCAATCCATGTAGCTTCAGGATTCACAGCAACAATGCAGGTTTTAATTCTGAATCAACAGAGATGTTCCTCTGCAACTCTGGAAGACATGGCATGTACAGCTCACCTTGCTTCCTACTTGTTAGACCTAAATACATTCATCCAGCACATTTACACACCTCCTTACTCAGCACATAAGCTGCTCAGAGTTCTGCTTCCCAGTGCCCAGTCTCCCAACAAAACTAATACAGAGCTGAGATGCCTCTGTAGGAGGTCTCTACATCACTTTAGTGGGCCATATGATGCCATGTAGCTGCTTCGCCCCTTGATTTAGGAATTGCTCCTTTGGCTATTAATCTTCTTTGAGAGTAAGTTAATTCACCTAGAATTCACTTCTGAAGGCCAAATTCACCAAATAAAAATTGGCAAGTTTATTGAACTGAAGAAGTTAAAGAGAGAGGTTATATCTGATTATGAGCCTTGAAATTCTGATTATTAACGTGCTACTTTCTTGCAGATTCTGCTGAATATTCCAGTGAATATTTTCTTCCTTTCAAAAACTGAGCTGCCTTTGTTCCCGCTATATTCTCTAGAGGTCATGAGTGACAGCAGGGCATTTGATTCCGAGCACAGCAATTAGGCTCATCCTTGGTATATTCAGGTTCACTCTGTATAGGAAGGAAGACTAAGCCTACAGAGTCCTTTCCTCACAACAGACCCAGGTGAGTGACAAGCTGATGAGGCCTCCCAGAGCAGTGATGCTACTCACTGCAACCAAGAATTCATTAGGCTGGATTGTCCAAAGCACACAAGTTTATGTAGGCATTTCTTTAGCTGCTGTCTTGAGTTTTTCTTTGGGTGTTTAAAGATTTAAAATTACATTTCTTAATTATAACAAAACCAGGCCTGACAAACCTCATCTACAGCCTGTGACTAAGACACTTATAAAGGTCTAAACACTGAACTGAAATTGTACCAGCAAAATGTTTTACCGTGCACGTACTCTTGCTGCACAGAATCAAGTTTCACACATTTAAGGAATTGCACTGATTAATTAAAATCAGGTATTAAGTTTATATTCAAGTGCAAGATTACAGTTTCAACATGTTCAAAATATCTATCAGCAAAGATTTGAACACTGACTTTTCTTGTGCACCTACACTTCTAGTTAGGCAAGTTTTGGAAAGTCAGTCTAGGGAAAGGAAACTTTCTGTGATGACAGAAAATGAACTCAAGTTTACTCTTTGTACAAAAACAGAATAAGAAATATAAGAGGCTCTGCTATCCATTCCCCATACTCTTCCAAGCATAGTAAGTACTGATTTGAGTAATCAGATCCTTAACTTACAAATCTAATTTTAAGAAAAAAAATCTTACCAGATTCCCCTGCGCTAAAGTGATCTAATGGATTCCCTTCTGCATCTGGGTTTAGTAAGACCATTTCAAACTGAATATCCTCGGATTCAGAATAATTCTCTTCGCAGGTAAACTTGTCTACATAAAACACATACCATGTTTCCGGATAAGGAATCTGGGACACTGTCAGATTTTGCTCTCTGTGGTTCACAGTCACTTTGGAAGAAAGCAAAAAAAAAAAAAACAACAAATAGGAGTAAATACTTGATTAGTTTGGTTTTAGAAAACACATGTTTGAATGAAGATAAAACTTAAATCTGCAGCATCACACACAGGTTATAAACTACACACAGTAGAAAACATACTGAGTTTTGAAAGCTATCTGTAACACCAGAGACCAGACCTCCAACTTCAGCTTTTGTTTCAAGTAGGTGCAGGCAAGGTTTGGTGAGGACACCGCATCCCACCTTTCAGCTCTGCTGGGAGGGCTCCTTCCTTCCAGAAGCCAGAAAGTGCAAAGTATATCCTTGGCTTAGCACATTTCCATCCTCTAGTTCTGTATTGACAGGATTAGCGATTCTGTACTACCCACCAGGTACTTCTGCAGCATGAAAAATACCTTTGTGAAATTTATTTGACTTTGCTTTTGAAGAGATTTAGAGCACCAAACAGGAACAGCTGCATGTGAGCTCAGTAAACAAAACCATGCATGCTTCAAAGGTGCAAATCAGTATTATTTCACAGGATCTTCCCCAAACTGTAACGTACTGAATTTCAAGTGGCAGCTGAGATCTGAAACCATTGTGTAATCAAACTGCACATTTCAAATCAGATTACATTTAAAAATGACTACATAAGATACTCATGTTTCATGTTCTTGCTATCTTACCACTATTTTTGCCTAAAAACAACAGTTAACCAAGCAGAGTCTCCTCTAAACAAACTCCTGATGCAAATGAAACCTGTGGCTCTCTATGTTTGGCTGAAACTACAAGAAACGCAAGCAATGTCACATTGACTACTGAACTTGAGTGCTAATCAGCTCAATCATTTCTTTGCAGGAGAAATAATAACAGAATAAGTCACCTTAATAGGTAAAGATGACAATGGCTGAGGATGAACAAAAATTTCATTAAAACCCCAAAAAACTTTTTTTTTGTGAAAGGCCTTTCTAAATAAGAGCTGCAAACATAAAATCTCATTTTCCCTAAATATTTTGTAGACAAAATTTAGAAAAAATTTCTAACTTGAAGCCTACCTGTGAAAAACTTCCATGCAATTCCAATGTGTTTCAAGTACAAAAAGTTACTTTCTGTTCTCTTAAGGTATGAACTGAGAAACATTAGAATCCAGTGTGAGATACAAAGTTGTGTTTCGTGTCAGGTACATACAGGTAGTGTGTGTACTTGTGATTGTGATTTGTGTGGAAACTGATCATGGGACAATGGAAGAATTGTAGTGTATGTGTCCTTGCAGCAACTGTCATGAGGTACAGATTTGGATGACACACAAACCAGTATTGCATATGGTGCTTAATCCAAAGAGAGGCAAACCATGGCTGGCAGGAGTGGCTTTACTCCCCATGTCACCTCTCAGCTCAGCTTGACACTGTGTTATTTGCACCAAGAGTAAGAGATCACACAGAGTGTGTTTAATCAGTTCTCTGTCAAATCTGTAGCTGATTCAGAAGCAGAAAAGCAATGGATTTTGCCCAAGATCAGCAAACAAATCCAACTCACCCTGTGGTCATACAACTCCTAACAGAGCAGAAAACAATGAGTACACTGCTGGGACACAGGAAAGACAGACTAACTGCCAGTTATTCCAGCAGCACTTTTGTCCAGCTCTGATGAAGGGTAAGGAAACCACATCCCTACAAATGACATCTGCGTAAGGTCTCATTACGACAAATGTTACATGGTTGATCTGTTACTCTTGGGATTCTGACTGCACAAAGGAAATGTATTTTAAGTGACTACAGCTTCTCTTTTAAATACATTTGAATGAAGCATCTAATACTAATTTAACTTCTCAGAGGAAAATTTATGCTTTAAGTACCACTATGATAAATGGTGCAAAAATTATTATTTCAGTCTGTTTGTCTTCTAGTTACATAACTCAATGCTTCAGTGTTTTACTCTTCTTTCATTTAGATGGATATTCAAGTTAAGCTTTATCCTGATTAGCTCATCTTTAATACTGTATTAAAAATTTTCTAACATGTTTTATACATCGAAGCATGACAGATTTGTGCTATCATGAAAACGTAATTTTATTTTTGTTTCCTCCACTTTGAAAAATGCCATTTCCATGGAACTGGAGAATGGGAGCCTCCTGACAAGTGAGAAACGTTCCTTTGTAAACAAGAGACAAAAAGACAATCTACATATCCTATACTGGTATAACTCTTAGTGCAAACATTAAAAACAGCTGAATGTGAGATTCAGTAACAAATATCAAGTTATAAAAGTGAAGGGTGAAATAGCATTAAGTTATAATACAGGAAAGTTATAAAGTAAGGTAGCATGATGCAGATTAATTTTTGCAGGAAATAAAGACTTATCATGAGGTAGTGAAAGAGCAGGTTTACAAGCACAAAATTACTCTTTTACTTTGTACTTGGGCTACTCACTCCCACCTTACAAGCATTTGCTCCACAAGTTTAGAAGCAACTGCAGCAGGTTTCATCACTTTGCCTCTAGTTTGTTTTTCATTCCACTGCAATGAAAGTCACAATTCAAACTCAAGTCACAACTCAAACAAGCCAAACACCTGACTGTCCCAAACATTCAGATTCTTTAGTTCTTCAGTTTCTTAGTACAAGGGTATTCTTCGTAAATTCTCTCTCATACCCAAGATAATCTATTTTATGGAAAATTTGAGATTAAAAACAAAAAAACACAAACAAAAAGAAATACATTTACTCCAAGCAGAGCTAAAAAAAATTTCTCTGTACTGAATGACTAAATGAAAACTTCAGCCAAGTATGTACCCTTTCTGAGTTGTGAACATGTGAAAGCATGAACTGGAACTGGTCATAAGGTTTGGCTGTTTCCATTAAAGCCATTGTTTGTCATGGATTTAATTTTCCAGCAGCACATTAAATCATAACTTGCCAACCAATTCTTCTGAAGTGATACAAAGAAAGAAATCTTATTTCCTTGTAGTATTTTTAATTGTAGAAGACCGAAGTCCTAGTTGATGCAAAGCCCAAATTCACTGAAATGAATATTCTAAACACATAGATAACTTAACAGAGTTCTAAATATACAGCAACTCTGTAAGGAGAAAAAAAACCCCAGTAACTCACTTGTCAGCTGAGCTTTAGAGAACTTCTCTGTACAGCTGTGATCTTGGACACTGCTCTCCACCTTCTGCCATTCCTGTGCTTGAAAGAGGTGAAGTCTAGCGGATTTTGCCACAGCTACTGCTACGTTCTTGATTCTGACACACAGAACAGCATGGTCACCTTAGTATTTAAAAAAACAAAATCAACTATTCTGTCTTGATGTCAGTTACAAGCAAACAGTGTGGCACAGATTTTTCTTGCATGTAGCTGCAATACACCTTAAAATCCTTAATTTTTTACCACTACTTCCTGCTAGAATGATTTATGGTCTTTCAGAAACAATTTTTATGTCTCTTATTAAGAAACCAGTGAATGTACAATTGTCTATGATGGTACTTAAACAAACCTTAACTATAGGATAAGTGTCATTAACCTTCTCTACTACAAACAGCCTTCCCTCCCCCCTCTTTTTTAAAACAGACTTCCAGATAATGTTTTTTACTTTCCTCCCTCCCACCCCAAATTTTATTGTTTCCAAGTTAAAGACAGTGCTTCAATAGCCTCAATAACTTGTTCAAAGTCTAGTATTTTACAATCTCTGTGGAATGACTATGAGCACCACAAGGTAGCTCTTAAGTCTAACATCAGAAGAACTTATGTGAATGGACTTTCATATTATGGATGGATTAGAGCTAAAATACTTAATTATAGATGACATATTGATGCAAAGAGAAATCAAACCTCCAAAGTGTTCTCTAATGTGTCATTCTGCTATTCTGCATAATCACAGAATAGCAGAATGGCCTGGGTTGGAAGGGACTTGAAGGACTACTTAGTTTCCAACCTCCCTGCTGGGGGACAGGGACACTAGACCAGGTTGCACAAAGCCCCATCCAGCCTGTCTTTAAAAACTTCCAGGGATGGGGCATCCACAACATTTCTAGGCAACCTGCTCCAGTGCCTCACCATCCTCACCGTAAATATTTTTTCCTAATATCTAATCTAAACCTTTTTTTTTTTTCAGTCTGAAACCATTCCCCCTTGTCCTGACACTACAGGCTGCATCTTGACACACAGAAATATTTTAGTCCTTTTAGAACTAGCTCATTTGACAAAATTTATCTTGCCTGAGTAATTCTACATGGTTTTCATAATTTCTTTCATATATTGCCATAGACTTCTTTAACCTAGGAGTATCCTAAATTACAATGTAGAATTTAGTGGAGAAGAAAAGTCATTAAATTTTATATGAACTACAGTTTAGCTAAATTTTTGAAATATTAAAAGAAGACTCTAAAGAAAGCTTCACTAAGACCCAAAATAGTTGTCGGTATTCATGGAGGAAGACAAGTATTTATATGCAAATAAGCAACATCAATTTATACAATTATATCTGAACACCTACAGTACTCATCTTCAGTTTTGACATCTTTTCTCAGATTTAAACAATGCATTTTTTTCCTTCAGGTCTATTTAGAGCACTCGTACAGTTAACTTCTAGGACAATGCTAATTAACTGCTTTCAAGTCACTTCATAAGCGATCTCCACCCTATCTATCATTCCTCATTCAGCACTGGAAGGTCATGCTCCAGCTCTGGTTTGCTTATGTCACGTTTTCCTGCTTCCCGTTAGATTTTGAAGCACTCTGCAGAACTGTTCTGCCACGAAGCTCAAAGGGAAAGAAAAAGAGCCTGAGCTACCGAAATGCTGAGCACGCAGGAAAAGCAGGCTGACCAGCACAGCCTGGCTGGACATGGCACTTGTCATGGCTACACACATCTCTTTCTGTAATTAAAACTTCTCTAGCAAGCACAGCGAGCCACTGCTAGGGCTCTCTTTCATCAGGATAGCAGTCAGGAATTATTACTAAGTAATTACTGACTGTCAGAAATTATTACTAACGAGGAGTTTTTAACACGGGAAAGAAAAGCCATTGGGAACAACCAGGTGAGAATTTCACATCCTGATGCGCGGTGTCACCAAGCCCACACAGCGACGGGGCACAGCGACGTTAATGACCGCCGCCACGGGGGGAGCTCCGGAGGGAAGGAGCGATGCGTGTCGCAGTGAGAGCGCCTCTGCTCTCCCGGGAGTGTCCGCAGGGCTGCGGGCGGCGAAGGGAGGCACAGCGCTGCCCCGCTGCCCCCGAGCCCCGCGGCACGGCACGGCCGCTGCCAGCCGCTGCGCGAGGCCGCCCCGCCGCCTCCGGACACGGCCCGCGGCTGGCCGCGACCCCCGGCCCCGCTGCGCGGACAGCGGATGGGACCTGTTGCACGTCCCGGCAGAGGAGGAGAGAGAGGGAGCAAAGGCGGGAAGGAGAGTGCGAGGGAGAGAGGCAGGGAAGGATGGAGAGCTGCAGGGCTGACCCCGCGGCCCCTCCGGCCGCCACCGGTCCCCCCGCGCCCCAACGGCTCCTCACGGCCGCCCCGTTCCCCCCCGGCCCCGTTCCGGGACGGCACAGCCGCTGCTGCCCCGCTCTCCTGCCCTCGGGGCACCCACCGTGGAACTGGAAGCGCGCCACGGGCCGCCACGGCTCCCGGCGGGAGGCGGCGCTGGCGAAGCCGCCCCGCAGCGTCTTGCCCGCGGCGAGGCCCCAGCAGCCAGCGGCGGCGGCGGCACTGAGCAGCCACAGCAGCCGCCACCGCATCCCGGGAGCCGCCGGACACCGCGATCCTCCTTGCCCCGGCCGCGCTGCCCCGCCGGGGCACGTGACGCCTCCCGCCGCGTTGGGCGGGAGCGGCGAGAGAGCCAATGAGGGAGCGCGCCCGCCCCTGGGGGCGTGACAGAGCGGCAGGCCCCGCCCCTGCTGCAACGTGTCCCGTTGCCGGGTCCGGCCGTAAGTTGAGAGACCCAGAGTCGTAAAAGAGATGGCAACCAGTTGCCGCTGAAAGCGGAGGCGAAGCATTGGTCCTTTTCACGTGCCGCGCTCGCCCCGCTGCCGGTGGCCTCCGTAGACGGTGACAGCTCCGTTCTTGGGGCGGCGGGGGGAGCGAGGAAGGCGATCTTTCAATGATCCTCTTGCAGGCGCTGCGACTCTGCCCGTGAAACCCACGGGCCCGTGCCGCTCACGCGCAGCCGTGGGGGAAAGGGAGTGAGGGGGCCGGTGCCGTAAAGCGCGGACGATGTCGGGGCGGGCGCCGCCGCCGCGGTTCGAGAAGCGGGTCCTGGTGACGGGCGGCGCCGGCTTCATGTGAGTGAGCCCCGCGGGGCCGCGGCGGGCCGCCGGCCTCCTGCCCAGGGGCGCGGGTGAGACGTGGCGGGCGGGGGTCCCGCGGTGCCGCCGCCCTTTTGTCCATCCCGGGCCGGTTCCTCGGCGCCGCTGGCTCGGGCCGCGCTGGTGACTGGCCCTTGTCTGGGTTCTGAGGTGGTGAGTGCTGGGGAGCGAGCTGGGAGCCTGCCCCGCCGTCCTTCGCCTGCGGCCGGCGAGGAGGTGAAGGAGAGACCGCCCGGCGCTGGCAGTCGGTGCTCGGCCTCAGCCGGGACGGGACTGCCCAGAGCAGGGCAGCGGAGCTGGGAAGGGCCTGGAGCACAAACCTGATGAGGAGCGGCTGAGGGAGCTGGGATTGTTTTGCCTGGAGCCTCAGGCAAAACAACCTTGTCGCTCTCTTCAGCTCCCTGAAAGCCAGGTGGGGTTCACCCTCATTTCCCAGGCAGCAAATGACAGGACGAGGGGACACAGTCTAAGCTGCGGAGGTTTAGGGTGGACGCTAGAAAGAAATTATTCCTAGAAAAGATGATTAGATACTGGAATGTGCTGCTCAGGGAGGTCAGGAGTTACTGTCCCTGCAGGTGTTCAGGAAACGACTGGACATGGCGCTTAGTGCCATGGTCTGGTTAACAAGGGGTTAACCCTTGTGTTTGGTCGTTTGGACTCGATGATCTCAGGTCTTTTTCCAGCCTAATGGATTCTTTGGGTTGAAGGTGACAGGGCTTGTAGCCAGCTGCAATTTCCCGTATCAACCCCCAGTGCTGTGGGCTCAGTTTGAGTCAGAGCAGGGTCTGGCCCGTCTTAAGCTTGACCCCCTCAGTGTGCAGAAGCTGTGAGAGGGTTAAATTTCTGTGTGTGAATAACCCTGAACTAACCTGAGCTCTCAGAATAAGCTTCGTGTACACAAGATCGTGCCAAAGGGGCAGTGCCACCTGGTTGTCTGGTTGTCATTTCTTACACCTAGTAGTAATGTCGTGAGTGATGGCAGTCACTGTCGTGGGTTAGGAGTGTTGACTGTTTGGTTCTCCCTGATATCTAATATGTAAGCTTTAGAGTGCAAAAAGTATTTTACAATGGCAATTCAATATAGCCTATAACAGTTTTTTTTTAAAATGTGATTGTGGGAAGTGCTGATTTCTCTCATTATAGGATGTACTTTTGTTCTGATTTTTAGTTTCTTAGCCATATGCACTTACGCATAGAAAATATTGGGATAATGTATAGAATATATATTAATGTTGATGTGTTAAAATATCTTTGAATTTGTCTTTTATCTGTCTTGAATATATCCCTTTCTTCCTCCAAAACATTGGATATTGCTGAATTTATTTGGAATTTGTCATCTCTTTGTTACCTTAAAGTCCAGTATATAATTGTAAAATATATTTTTCTTCTATCCTGCAGTGCTTCACATGTAGTCGTCTCTCTTGTGAAAAAGTATCCAAACTATCTGATTATAAATCTGGATAAGGTAATACCTTATTTTCTTTCTTGATATGGACAACTGTTTTAAGTGATTTATAATGCAATCTGTAATATGTTGAATTTTATATGGCTTATTGTTAGTTACTAATTTTTGTTTGTTTTTCCATTTGTTCCTGTGCAAAAAAAAAAAAAAAAAAATGTCAGCTGGTGTTCAGAAAAAGAACAAAACTTTTCAAGCTCTAAACATCTGTTTAAGAATTTTTGCAGTTAGGGTATCTTTTGGAGATTTGTGCTTTTAAAGCTTCACATCTGCTTGTGAAATAGATTTTTTTAAAAATAAGTTTTTACTGTATTCTCAGACTTTCCAGTGGTTAGGTTGGGTTTGAGTTAGCCTTTTTGCTTCCATGAAGCCCACTTACTGATGTTGTGTGGTATTTCTCTTTAGCTCGACTACTGTGCAAGCTTGAAGAATCTTGAAACTGTCTCTGGGAATGAAAACTACAAGTTTATCCAGGTGATAGAGCCTTTTATTCCACAAAATGTGACTTTTTACAGATTTTTTGTAAATACACAGTTTTGTCTTCAGACAGTGGATGGATTTTGATTTATTGTTTAGATCAATATTTGGACTTGCTGGGCTTGCATGCTGAGGTTCCTCCTGTCTACAAAAGGCAGTGCTGATGCTCACCTCTCTGTCTTGGGGTCTGCCCAAGTTTGCAGGACATCTGAGAAATGCATATAGCTCAGTTTGCTGAAACAGCCCCTTTCTCAGAGGCAGTAGATGTAAACTTGCCTTTTTTCTTAGATTCAGGTGAGGCTGGAAGCTGGATTTGCCTTAGCCTGTTGGTGACCCCCATGGCTGTTTATGTTTTTGTGAACCACCTCTTTATTTCAGTAAGGGATTACGTCTGAACTTTTGGGATAAAAGTTGCATGAGAGGAAAGGGACAGTCTGTATGTAAACGTGCACGTGCGTGCAGTTGCAGCCTGACCAAAGTGGCTTTTTGGTTATTTTCCTAAGGTCTTTGATTATTTCCAGTGTGCAATATGAAATGTACTAATGCCCTATAAAAGCCTTGTTACCTGAGGAGATATTAACATTTAATTGCTGGGGAGAACTTGGAGTTCTGCAAGATATCCTTTAAACAGGCAGATCCCTATGTGAAGCAGAGGAACAGTAACTACGACTGATGTGGCTATTCTGATTTTGAGCAAGGGTAGGAATCTCTTGTCTCTCTTGTCATAAAACTTACATCAGTATAAATAATTCCAATTTTTCACTGTGGGTTTTTTTTTTTTTTTTCAGTTTGGGTTTGTTTCTGGTTTTGGTTTTTAGGGACAGTTGATCACAGCTTAACATCCAGCTGGTATGCAACCAAGCAGTGTACACTGACAGGAAAAAATGTGCTGGAAAAGATAATTTCTAATGTGCAACCCTTATAATTAGAACTGTAACATTGGTCCTGACCATAGGAGACAGTAGGAAGGATATATTCTCTAGTGGTACTGTAGAAAGGAAGTCTGTTTTGGAAAGTAGAACAGTAAATTTAGAAAATTTTACTCAGGGGCTGTATGAAAGATACATTTCAATCACAATTTCTGTTGCTGTTCAGCATAGATGTACTAAGCTTGAATTTCAGTTAAAAAAAAAATCAGTAGCTAGCCATTTAGTTCAAAATAATGTCTCTTTTATAAAAATATGTCAGTTAAAAAATAAATCACCGGAATAAACAATAAGGAGCAAAGCCCTCGGAAGACGTAATCTAATCCCCCTTAGTGGGAATGTGCTTCTCCTTTTGCAGTGCCACTAGATGTCCCTACCAGCTTGCCAGACTGGGAACTCTTACTTGCTCTGGGAACTTGGCATTTCAGCCTCAATGTTGGAGCTCCACGCTGTACTTTTGTTGTGTGTATTTTTGGACACATTGCTATTTCTAATGTTAATAGTAATATAAATTCTGAAATAAGTTTCATTTAGGATTTTTAAAAAAATGGGTGAAATTTTATGTATGGTCTTATTTTAGACATGGCATTAATAAGTGGCCCAGAACTCAGTTGATGGTGCTCTTTGTATCCTGTGTTCCCTTTGTAATGGTTTCTTATGTGACACTTGGTGTAAAGGGAAGCTATTTTCTATCAAAAATAATTTGCCTTTTTTTTTTTTTTTTTCCTTTGGGTTTTTTTTTTTTTTTAAAATTTTTTTTTTTTTTTTTTTTTTTTTTTTTCCCTTTCTTGTTTAGGGAGACATTTGTGAACCTGATTTTATAAAGCAGCTCTTTGAAACTGAGAAAATAGATATAGTCCTTCATTTTGCAGCCCAAACACACGTAGGTGAGCATTGCTGCATGTTTTGGTATTGTTTTTCATGGCTACACCTGCTTGAAATATATGCCAGTATACCTTTTGTCTTTTCCCTTCATATAAACCAAAGATCCAATTTGTCTCTACAAATCACATGACTGATTGTCTGGTGGCCTTTTTAACTCAGAGGGGTTCACAGCCTTGATTTAAAAAGTTCTTAATCTGACTGTTGTCTTGTTTTCATTGCACATATATGGTAATGTACCTTTTTGTCTGCATTACATTTTTAAATTCTATCTAGACTGACATGCAGCTGACAGTGTACTGAGGGAGTCATAAAGACAGTGGAGAGGGGCTTTTTACATAGTCTGAAGTTTTTACAGTGGAGAGGGTCTTTGTACATAGTCTGAAGTTTTTACTTAATTGGCTCCAATGTCACATGTAAAAACAGTGTGAAAGCTGAAGGATTAGCCATAGGTCCCACTGGAATCTTGTCTTCATGCTTAAAAGAGAGAATGAATTATAAAGTGCCTATTTCAGATGGCTGCTTTTCAGTATCACTTTTAGTAAGAAAAATCCCCACCATACTCCATCCATCATGAGAAGAAATCCTCAAAGAATTCTCCAGGAAAATACTTATTGGAATTGTCAGATTTGATAGGCACAAAGTCATTAGGTCAGGGGAACAGTTGTAAGAATGAAAACAGCTGCTGATGAGTTATTAGTCATGCGTCCATATTACTGCATCTTGCAGCTGTCTTTGAATGACACTTTTCTTACTTGTTGTAGGTTGAGGTACTTAGCAAATGCTATTTTAGATTAGAAAAATTCATAACCAACAAGCTTTTGCTCATGATTCCAGCCCCTTGTTGAGAACAAGGATTTTTGTCTTCGTGTAAGTGTAGAAGGTGCCTTCATTTAACAAGGACCTTGCTGTCTGACAGGTCTGTACTGCAGCCTTCAAGTGGAACC